AGCACCTTATTTGTCGAAACGGACACATTGAATTATCTTAATATGACCTTGATCTTTGTAAATTTTCGACCATCAAGGTCAAAATATCAAAATTTGCTAAGATTGTCATAACATTTTTTTTCATTAACAGCGTTAGATTTTTTTTCGGGGGGGGGGGGCAAGGCAGCAGCTTTGTTGTTTATATATGGATTAACTTCCTTTTTAGACACAACATTTACATATTTATCAAACACAAATTGACCTTAACTCTTGTATGAACTTTATTTTGAAGTTAAAATAAAGTCTCACTGATTTCTGATATAATTGTTTGTAAGTTGGTAACTGGTCAATGGATTAATTTCATTCTTTGACAAAACAACTTTTTTGACAAGAATTCCTAACAGTTTGAACTGATATTGACCATTCAATGATCTTGATAAAACCGTAGGTCAAATTATTGAATTTTGATTAAGATGTCAAAATTTGTTATTTATGTACGGATTTGACTCATATGTGGACAAAACACTCGTGACCAAACGGAGATAAATAATTTAGATATCACCTTTAAATGACGTTGACCATCAAGGTTAGATGATTGATTTTTCTTGTACTTTGTCATTTTTATGACATGATTTATTTTGGATTAGTATGACTAGACAGGTTTATTGAGATAAAAAATATGGGAAAACTATTTTTTTTTCTTATTAATTTTTATTTTTAAAGGATTTGTTTGAATTGTATATTTGCTTTCTTTTAGAAAAAGGTAAAAAAAGTCTAGCGTTTCCGCCGTCAGGCGGTGCTTCTTGTACATTATCCTATCAATCTTTTTAATTTTGATGTCAACTCTATTTTGTTCCATTTACATTAAATATGGCTTACTTTAAAAGAAACAACAACTGGCCAAGTTATGTGGAGAAAGTACCAAAAGATTACTTATACATCCTCAGACCCCTTAATATAATGTTAGATTACTTCAGTTGTAGAAATTTTATGCATTTTTTTCTAATTTTTTTAGTTGGTATTTTACAGATATATGTATTAACATTTTGTATGTAAACTTAATAGAAGACAAAAATTTCGTCAGACTATCATGAAACCTGACAAATGTTTACCTTTTTGATATCTAGGTTAGGTTTGATTCTGTTTAATTTGTGTAATGAATTTAGATCTATGCACCAAATCATACAAAAGCTTTTGAGTCTTATGCAATATAGTACCTCTGGACACTGAGGATAATGTCTCATTATATAAAAGGTTAAAATAATTGTAAAATAACCGTTTTTATGCCCAAACTTACACAGTGGGGAACAAACTGTGAAGAGGTGGCTGTTCATACGTTTGTTACTGTTACGTTACTCTTCGGTTACTTTAACTTTGTATACATACTATAAAACCCATCAAGAGGACAGTGCCACAGTTTTAAGTCCATCTTTAAATATGATCTCAATTGTTATTAATAATAAGTCTGTTTGTGAAAATTTAAATAGAGACTTACAATGCCCAGTAGATAACTAGTATTGATTTTGAGTTTATTAGGTTGAAGGTCACAATGACAGTTTTTGTACAATTCTTATTTGATCGACAGTTTGCGCGAAGTGTTAAACTTTTTACGGTCATTGCAAATAGCCAGTCCTATCCAATGGCAAGTCTTATCTATTTGACATTGCTAAATACCAGTCATATCAATTTTGATGTCAAAGGTCAAGGTCAGTTTAACATTGTGTAATACATTTGCCTGATGAATATATTGAGAAATAAAAGGAAAAAGTTTGTGAAAAAATTGTAAAGGCATCAACCCTAAGAACAGTAGCTAGCCTTACTGATCAAGCTCACAGTAAACAAAATCTAACATTTTATCAATAATATGAGAGGCTATAAACTTTGATTTGTCAAATTTGCCAGGCCTTTGTTAAATATGTAACCTGAATAGATATTACAAGGCAATTTGAACAAGGTGGCAGTGCCACTTTGTGTGATTTTCTTATAAATCCAATTAATAGGGTGTTTCTATTTGTTTTGTGGTGGTGACATGATTGAAATGATGATGTTCAATTTTTTTTATCAGTTAAAGCCTTTTCCGAGTGTAGGGTTAAGGTTAAGAAAACGATTCAGAGATCAATTAAATCTGAAAAAAATGGATGAAATGGAACATAATCATTTGATTTATATTTCTTACATGGAAACCTACTTTTTGTTTTTCAGCTCAGCCTGGAGAATACACAGCACATTCTTAGATGAAAAGATACGCCATAAAAATGCCAATATTGTACTTTGACACACAGAAAAAGCTAAAAAAGTTGATGTCTTGTTGTGTGAGATTGCCTTGTCATTTACTTAGTCAAAGTCCTGCATATTTCCTCACTCATTTTATGACATACATTCATATATTGATACTACCTTTATGACAGATCTATGCTAAAAAGATACAATAATTAAATTTCATAGTGCTCTCCATATCATATTTTAACATTTTGCTCACAATCTGAAACAAGTCAAAATGGTTATGTTATGACTGATGTGAATCACAAAAATGGATTCTTTAAAAAGTGCCACTCTCTGGAAATTTCTCCGTTTAAACATTGAATGACTTTCATATAACTTAATGTTCCATAGGTGTAATAAATATAGATATTAATTAAGCAAAATGTAATTTGAAAAATAAAAACGTTTTTTTTTTTTGCAGCATTGTTCTTACACATCACATCATGTATAACGCAACGGTAGGAAACCAGTATACTCCATATTCAATGGAGCTTGGGTATTTATATCGTATGTGTCGAATGCAGCAGCTTTTAATGCATTGCCGAATTCCTGCCCTAGGTCTACCGCGTATTCACAGCGTAAAGTTTTTATATGCTGCATGCCTCTTGGTCTTGTTATTGTCTTTTATCATGTGACTGCACCAATAAAGCATATCTCGATAATGACGAGTTCTAATAAAAATCATCCCTAGGTGAAGGATAATCCTGTCCATTTACTGAAAATATATTTACCAAACATCAAGCAGTAATCAAACAGTCAAGGTGAACAACAGCAATGACTGTCGCTTATACAAGTGTTTTCAATAGGAATGCTTTTAACTTATGTTACAATGAATCTGATTCTTATATACAGATGCCTAGTTAATAGTGATGACCACTTAAGAAAGTATCACATGCATTTTGAAATTCACATCAAATCACATACAGTAAGATATGATGTGAAGTAAGAAGAAATATCTGAAAGGATAATTATCATGACACAATTGATAAAAACAGTTGAAATATGATGACATTGTTCAATACTAGAAATTTTGTAAATAATTTAAATGATTGTTCATAAGCTGTTTATAAAGTTATTTTTATTCTGATGATACTGAAAGAACAATCATTAAAACGATATTTTGATATAATTGAATTCCATTTTACTGGTATCTATTTGACTGGTTCAAGATACTAACCAATTAAGTGTTTACATTCTTATTTTGCATATTAAATAAAATACTCTTGAAATTATACACTGACTTGCATATCAATCATTCTACCACGTCCCCTACCAACACACTCTATCATTCTTTCCTCCGATTCGGATCCAATGCTTTATATCACATATCAGACAAATACAGAAAAATTTAAGAGACACAGATACCACCACATTCCACTATTTTGTCAGTGTGTGAACAGAAAGCCTGACAGTTGTAGCAGCATATTCAAATCTAAACCCTTAATTAGGGGCATAAGATAAATATTATATGTGTTGGGCCCGTATTGTGTTTGTTTCTTACTCGAACAATTGAACATATAATATGCTTTTGCCAGCAATATAATAAGTGTGCACAGTATGAGCAGGCCAGAATATATTTTGCTGGCTAACAAATTCTACAATTCCATGTTAATGTAGTCAGAATTCATATAAGGTTTGTTTAAATAATAAGAATTTCATAGCAATACATTGCTTTTGTTTGGTTTGTTTGTTTTTTGTTGTTGTTTTTTGTTTATTTTGTTTGTTTTGTTTTCGGTTTTTCCCCTTCAAATATAATGTTAAAATATGCATTTTGACATGTCAAAATGAAATTTCTTAGATAAGTACATAACGGTTAACATTAAATGTGAGATTGTTCACACTACATAACAAAACTTGGTGAGACGCACGCACGCACGCACGCACACACACACATACACACACACATACACACGTACACACATTTATATATATGTTTCAACTCATTCTAAACACGGTGAGATCACCCATAGCTTTGATGTAGGTAGTTTTTTTTGCCTATTTTAACACCATTCTCCCCATTTGGCCCCTAGAATCAAGATTAATAATAAATTGCCTTATTCAAGGATTTTACACATATTAATTTTACTTTCCTTAATTTCTTCGTAAAACAGATTATTTGTGTAATTTCAAACCTAAGGTAAGATTTAGGTCTTTACATGATAGAGATTAAATATCAGAAATTAGGGAACCCTTGCCCTTTGTTGTGACAAGTCCCCATGCTTGTCTGGAAGTAATGGAAAATCCCGGATGATGCTCCCGGATAAACTGATCGTTTATCAGTTTATCATTGATATTTTGTTTATTGAAGCTAAGAAAACAACATCAAAATAATAACTTTTGAAAAATAAAACAATGTTCTGTCACTTTAAACATGACCATGATTTTTTGAGAAATATAATGTATATCAATTGTGTAAACATTAATGGATAATCGTCACACAATTTAGAAGAATTGAAAGTAATTTTCTAAACCATTATCTGCAGAGGGCATAGTCAATCTGCAAAAAGAAGAAATTTGAGATGTTATCAAAAACGATAAATTATTCAATAAATCATTGAACCTTCTTAACAGAATTAAGAAAAAACGATTAAATTGAACATTTTACATGAAGAACTTTTGTTTAAAAACTTCGTTTTACACAGTTTTGTATCAATTTTTTTATAAACAATTAATAGTAGAAATATTTTTTAATTTATGTTTATTATTATGTATCTTGGCAGTATGATATATTTATAAGATATTGAATTGAATTTTTTAAGGTATGTGTGCAAGGCCAATTACAAAGGAAATAATGAAATTGATAGCAGCCCGAAAGAGAATAGCACCTTTGTTGGTGAAATATACTTGCAACTTGGAAAAGTCAAACTATGGTATTTATTTTATCACTTAAATAATAAATGATAATGTCTAAACATTTATATTCCATGTCAAACCCTATAACATTTCATGCCGTAAATGCATTATTGTATACAAAATGTATCGAGTAAATATGAAAAAAGTCAATTTGCAAAGTTTGATTAAGTAAGGTTTTTTTTTTCAATGCAGATTTGCTTCTTTTTGTTTTTACAGCCGTACGTGTGACAATTGAAAAGGCGGAAACTATTACCGGTCAACATGAAAAGGTTGCCATTGGCAAAGTTATAAGTAGCATTAATACAGGTAAAACCTAGTTATATTTTAAGTATATTATATGAAAATAATCCGCCAACGCATGTTGATATTCTTTTTAACAAACTGTGTATAACAATAATGAGATGTTTGTTGGGAAAGCAATTTTCATTTATTTTTGACCATTTCATTATACATAGAATATCAATTCATAACAACCCTATTAACTGTGCATCCTCAAAAACTATTTTTATTTCTTTCATGACAGTTTTATAAGTTTTGAAATAATTAAGGCTTTTATTCTATAGTCAGGGCAACGCCAAAACATTTCATTATTCTGTAAATAAATGCAAATTTTCAAATCAAATTTGTCAAATTATTCATTTAAAATTTTACGTTATTCTTATACGGACATAAAATTCAAATGGAATAAGTTATTTCCTTTCCAAATAGTCAGTGAAAGTTTGTCAGTTGGTGTGCTGCATATTTTATTGTCGATTTGTGCAAAGAGTTTTCTTGTTTTCAATAATTTCTAGAAAACATGACCCCTAATCCTAACCCAACAAAATACCACTTTATTGTCAGTTTTTTTTCACTTTATAGTTTTTTTGTAGCATAAACCAGAAACACATGTTTTTATTGTAAAATGTAAAAATTATTGACGGAATCGGCTATATAAAGGTTCACATTTGTTTCAGTTTTTAGATTTGAAAAATTGCTTCAGTTGTTTTTTAATACCATGTCTTTTATCAGAGTTTCGTTAGCACGGATAGGTGTGTGCACTTCTATATTTTGTTGATTTCATTTGATACAAAGTTACTTTGCACTCCATTACATTGAATACGTTTCAAGGTCTTAAGCTATTAAGTTGTATACGTTTTATATAAAATATATTATTTTTCATGTATTTTCATCAAATTTCATTTATACTATAGGAAGGTTTGACCTTGAGAGAGGAATCGAAATTAACTTTTCCTGGGGTATGAGCTGCAATTGGCCATTATTAGAAGAAGGAAAAAACTATACTATTATCGGAATGGATTACAATGCGATTAAGATCACTGAAGATGAAAAAATAAAGTATTTTTGTGTTGTTACATTGTTATGTATTTATCATATTTCAAAATACAGTTCTAACAAAAGTAAGGCACATGCATTATGTTTCTTATATAGTTTGTTTCAGATAATTTTCTTATAAATATCTAATATATGTAACGTGCAGACAAAAGCAACAATAGCTTTAAAGACTGCCTCCTACTATCTGAAAAATAATCAATAAATTGAGTAACATCGATAAATTTACCAACACGGATGTAACATCGTTTGTTTACCAAAACTAAGATATGTAAATTGATACATATATTTAACTATTGATAAAAAATGCGAGGATGTGTGAATTTATGTAATAGTATAGTAAAGAAAACATTTGAAAAACACTTACAGCAGTTAAGTAAAAAGATATAAGTGTTATTGACATTGTATTTAGACAATTTTAAGATACTTACCTTCAACTAATTTGCAGGATCTTTAAAGGGTTTATAGTTGTCATTCTGTGTTTGATTTTAGTTTCTTTATCATAATAATGAGATGAATTTGATTTGAAGCATGTAAGAAATTACATAAGCTGCTACAACTTTATTTATTTAGTGATTTGTTTCATGAACAATTTCTTAAAATATGATTGATTGTTCTTCGTGTATTTTAATCGCTTCATAAAACTTCCTATTTGTTTATTATTGTCTCTTAATTAAATGACATGCTTCTCTGTTATTTCAAAGGTTTGCGTGTGCAAAATGTTATTTTGTCGGATAAACATAGACAAGTGTCTGTCATATCATTGACACTTCGTTGTTTGATTTCATGATTTAAATATATTTCTTTCAAGTTTTATACTACTATTTAATCTGTTTTTCAGATATCAATATCAGTTAGGAGCTACTGCTTTGATTCTCGAAGAAAAAAACAAATTTCGCCGTATACGCAACAACTACTACAAGAAAATGGAAAATGGGTGTAGTGAGTAAGCAATCTGTACAGCATGTTAAAGAATGTCATGTACAAATTAATTGCGCGTGTTATATTCATGGTGATATATTGAATAATATTTGCAAAAAAGACAAATACTTGAAAAAAAGTTGGAATGGTTATATTTAATAAAGATGCAGATTGATTTCAGATGTGACCAAGACATTCAAATATATGATGTAGCAATGAATTACAAGAACGAGATGCCGTGTTGTTATATACTTAACCTTGCTTTTAGAGTCTTTAGCGACAAAATATGTTTTTGCCTTTTTATTAGAAAACAATTGTACTTCATTCTAGAAAAATATTAGCAAATATGTAAACTATTTGTATAACTGCTCTAACATTGACATTTTTTTCCTTCCTTGACATAATAGTCAGTTCACACTTAGATATTCAAGTCCTAAATAACAAGTAATAGAAACAAAAAAGTAACTGTTTGAAATACATTTACTATGACTAGAAACAAAAAAGCGTTTTAATGGCCGATAAAACTAGGTCCCGCTATGCAATGTCACGCTAATTCATTCTGCATTCTTGCCGATTGTTTTCAGTTTTGCACAAAACCATCAAATTAGTAAAACAGTTCTAAATATAATTGAAATTAATGGCTGAATGTCTTAAATAGTATTTTATTCTTTTTGCAAATGATTATATCATAAGAAAAGAAACAAGAAAACACAACAAAAACAAGTGCATGGAAGAAATAACACAAAATGTGACATACAGTGAAATAAAATATTGTAGCAATCATAAACTGGAGACATGCATTTTGATTAATATTTTGAAGAAATGTTGTAGAAATCATAAACACAAGTTATAAAGTAAGACATTTATTATGTACACAAAATATGAAGCAACGAAATCATGTCATAGAAATCACCTACAGAAGAAAAAAGTTTTGTGAATTATCTTGCAGATATGACAAACACAAGCACACATAAATGATTATGACCATCATGTTGTACGCAAGACACCACTTATGAACACCATTTTACAGAAATTATAAACCCACAAAATAATGAATGGTCATCATCATGTACTAATAATAGACAAGCGAAATGTAGAATGTTTACAATGTTCATGTTCAAAACTAATAATTTAACAATGCAAACATGTCTACAAACACTTAGGTTACAAATAGGCTAAAATGCATCGAGCTTTTGTTCAGCATGTGCGTAGCTTGTGTTTGGTCTATGCTTAATTCATGATGATAGAAGAAGTGATTTATATTAGGGCTGGGAATGAATAAGGAATTTGATATCCAAATATTCGTTTTCCATATTCGAATATATTCGAAGTTCGTTTTTACAACATTTGTTCCAATATTTCTCTTTTACGTATACGTATCCGGAATTAATTGCGTCGAATACTATACTACTTTAATATGCTTTGAATAATCGACGATTAAAATGCCTTTATTACTTGTTTTTATCTTATATATTGTAAGTCGACATATATGTTTACTTTTGAAATAAATTCATTATTTGATTGCATTTTGTTCAGTTAATCCGACTGCTGATCATTTTTCTTTTTAACGGGAGGTAACTCACGTGACTTGATTGACAGGAATATGAATCACCGTACCCTCTTAGCAATAATGCATAATTATATTGGAACCTAACTTGTATTTAATATTTCTTTTTTATTTATTTATTACTTTAGATAAGGTTTAAAATATTCTTCAGATAAATTTAGCTTTAACGCAGTAAATATCACACGGAGTCTAATTTCTACGGAATAAATATATTCCGACGGAATAAAGACACTTACCATGCTTTCATAAAGCACCGATTAATGCGTGTCGATTTTTTCGTCCTCGAAAATGTTCTAATATAATTCCCGGCCCTAATTTATTTATCTCAAATGCAGTTATGCTAAGTGCAATAAATGCATAATAATTCAGTCAATTTGTGAAGAAAAATAATACTTCAGAAATGGGAAAAGCACCAAACTTGTTACAAATAAACTTTGGGCTATATAAGCCCTAATTTATGTATCTCAAATGCAGTTATGCTAAGTGCAATAAATGCATAATAATTCATTCAATTTGTGAAGAAAAAAAATCAGAAAATGGGAAAAGCAACAAACTTGTTACAAATAAACTTTGGGCTATAATAAGAAAAAATGAGCATGGGACCCTTTTCTGAAAATCCAATATGGTCAAAAAATCCAAGATGGCCACCATACATGTTTAAAATTTTATAAATGCTTGTTTTTACTAAAACGACGTAATAAATTATAACATATTAGCGACTTATGAAGTAATTATCAGTATTGAAAAATTGCCTTGTCTTCCTAAAGCTATATGTTTAAAATATTTCATTATTTCTGTTTGTTTTGATTTTCCTGTTTTCTAAAGATATTGAAAAATCATTTTTAACGTTCTATGACTTTTTCATTTACAATGCTCACTTCACAAGTACATACTAACACAGTTAAAATTAAAGTTTGTAATGTTACGTCAAAGAGTTCATAGATTATATCTGGGATGTGAACAGGACTGCGCTTCCTTATCTGCCCTGTGATTAAAAGAAATATAAGCTAACTGGCGTAAGATTTTAATCTTTAATAATTTCAATTGTCATATCATATTTACATTTTATCAATGAATTTGATTTCGACACATCTTTGTTAAATTACTACATATTGGTGTTTGATTGTGTAGCTCCTTGTCCGTTCATTTTATGACTCATTACTGCTTAAAATCAATCTTTGCCTTCTTAAAGTTTCAATATTGCTAGAATACTCCCACTGTCAACTTTAAATAAATAAAAGTGCCTTTTGTGACAAAAAATATATGTGTGGTTTGTTTTTATTTATAAACTTTGGAATCTGTTGGATATCATATTTTCTAATATTTACAAACAATTTCCAACCTTGGTACTGCTTTTCTTCTGAGGGCCTCATATGTTTGCAAGAGGCATGATACGCCGTCAATTCTTAGGGGGGGGGTGAAGAATGGGATATCGAAAACAGTAAAAGCAGGCTTTACTGTCTGTAAAACATTAGATTCCTCGGGTATTTCTCTTAATCATGTCATCTACTGATCATGTTAATGAACACAACACAGCACCTTGATCTATTTGTGGCGGATGTATTTTTGGTGAGAATCATAGTTTTCTTGTTGGATATTGTTGTTGTTGACAATACTTCGCCAGACTTGTCAACAAACTCCAAATTTTTACTGGCAAACAAGACTTGAGTAAAATGTTTTATAATCATCATCCTGATCAGCAATGTTACTTCTAAAATAGAGTGTAAAAGAATGTTTAAATCCTTTATGACAGGCTTAATCTTGTTTGTACAATCATTTAATGATATGTGGCGTGATTAGGAAAAATTCAATAGCAAAAAATTAAGTTATTGTTGTGTCTGTATTACAATTTCGAAGCAACAGCCGGATAAACAGATATTTTCTTTGCAGCCAGGAGTGTCCTAAAAAGCAACTTTACGGAGATAAAGAACAAATGTCCTAACTTAGACTGAAATATTATGTTTTCCTGATTATATAAGTCATGTCAGGTACACGGTGAACCGAAGTTGATCCCAACCTGAACCGAAGGGGATACGTAGCTGAAACGATCCTGATTTGTTGAGGAACCTTGGCTGAGATGATGAAAGGTAATCCGAAGCTGAACCAAAGCTGATCCGATGCTGAACCAAAGATTATAAGAAGCTGAACCGATCCTGATTTGTGTCTGAACCCGAGCTGAAATGATAAAAGCTGAACCAAAGCTGATCCGTAGCTAAATCGAAGCTGATTGGAAAATGAACCGAAGCTGATATAAAGCTGAACCGATCCTGATAAGTCACTGAACCCGAGCTGATATGATAGAAGTTGAACCGAACCTGATCTGATTCTGAACCGAAGCTGATCCGAAGGTGATACGATTCTGAACTGATGCTAACCCTTGGTTAGGGTTAGTCCCTTTTGTTAACCCTAGGTAAGGGTTAGGGGTTGGGGTTAGGGCTAGGGTAAGGGATTAAAACGAAATAGGGTAAAAAAAAAAAATTAAAAAAAAAAAAAATTTTTTTTAAAAAAAAAAAAAAAAAAAAAAAATTTTAAAAAAAAAAAATTTCTTTTTTCTTTTTAAAAAAAAAACAAAACCAAATAAAAAAAATTTTTAAAAAAAAAAAAAAAATTTTAAAAAAAAAAAAAACAAAAAAAAAAAAAAAAAAAAAAAAAAAAAAAAAAAAAAAAAAATTTAAAAAAAAAAAAAAATGGGGTTAGGGTTAGGAATGCAGTCAAAAACGAAGATTGATCATTGAACAAAATCGCGGCCATTGATAAAAAAAATTTTATTGGTTCATTTTTTCACGTGGATTTTTTTAAAAAAGTTTTTATTGATAAAGATGTTGTGGTTGATGATTGATTGTAGTTATTTTAATTCTGACCAATGATGTTGAAATTATATTTTGTATGTTTTAAAAAATCTTAAAAGAAATGGTTCAAGGTTTTGTTGTTTATCTTTCTTTGTTACTAAAAATAGATTCTTTTGATATGAAAAGGGATTTTTATATTATATAATTGGATTGTTAATTTACGTGAATGAAGAACTTTTACTTATATGCTGTTTTGTTTGAAATATTTTACATATTGCCAAAATAAGAAAAAAAAATAAAAATAGAATACATGGAATGAAAACTCGGAGAAAAAAATACAGATTATCATTTAGAAAGAGGATTGTTTTAATGATGCTTTTTATGTTGCAGGGGTAATCGGGTGGGCTGGGCCTACTATTCATTTGTACAATTTGCAAAGAAAGTCTGGACTCATGTGGAATAAATATAAAAAGTATTAGGAAGTGAAACATAAATTCCATGTATGGAGCATATTCATAAAAAATAAGAAGTCGGAGTCATTGACTCGGTTCGAGCCCTAGGATTCATCTCAAAAACAAACCGTACTCCTATGCAAACCCTTACTCCTAACTCGTAAGCTTACTTTTTGTTAACCAACCTTACTTTTATGATTATCTACGTTACTCTGATAGATATTTATTAGGGCTGGGAACGAATAAGGAATTTGATGTCCGGATATTCGAATTCAATATTCATTTTTACAACATTTGTTCCAATATTTCTCTTTGACGTATACGTATCCGAAATCAATTGCGTCGAATACTATACTACTTTAATATGCTTGGAATTATCGATGATGAAAATACCTTTATTGCTTGTTTTTATCTTATATATTGTAAATCGACATATATGTTTACTTTTGAAATAAATTCATTATTTGATTGCATTTTGTTCAGTTAATCCGACTGCTGATCATTTGTCTTATTAACGGGAGGTAACTCACGTGACTTGATTGACAGGAATATGAATCACCGTACCTTCTTAGCAATATCACATCATTGTATTGAAACTTAACTTGTATTTAATTATTTCTTTTATTTATTTATAACTTTAGATAAGGTTAAAAATATTTTTCAAATAAATTTAGCTATAACGCAGTAAATATCACACGGAGTCTAATTTCTACGGAACAAATATATTCTGACTGAATATAGTCACTTACCATGCTTTCATAAAGCACCGATTAATGCGTGTCGATCGATTTTTTCGTCTTCACAAAATTTAAGACAATTTATTGATTAATAAGAAAGATCATAGCACAGAAAACAAAAAATATGATAATTAAAATCGGAAATAATTACATTATAAACTATTATAAATTTTGAATTCTGAGATAAATTCTAGAAAAATAATAAAATAGTGTGTCTTGATGATAAATGGATTGTTATTTGTTGTTGGAATCGATTCGTCTTATACTGAGGTTGAATGTTACATTTTCTCTCACTTATGACAAGAAAACGAAAAAAGGACAACATATCGCCGGCTACCGAAAACAAAGAGCCATTGACGAAAAATGGCGACAATTACAAACTTTCCAAATAATTCAAACCAGCCAAATGTAAGTCAAGTTGGTCAATCATTTATGTTGCCTCCCATCCCTCCTATGTATTCATCACCAACGTATTACATGGACCCACATACTTCTCTGATTCTTCAACAACCCCCACCCTCTACTCCGACGATGAATGTTGACATGTTACAATGTATAATACAGCGTTTAGATAGCATGGACTCTAAATTAGGTCAACTTTATTCAATACAAGCAAGTGTGAAACAGATAACGGGCCATTGGAACAATATGGAGCAAAAGATTACCGATATGGAACACAGTCAGAGTTTTTTGTTTGTTTGTTTGTTTGTTTCATTTTACGCCTTTTTCTAACAGTATTTCAGTCATATAGGGGGGTAGTTTCCTAACCATCGTTCCTGGAGAGTTACACCAGTACTAGACAACCTTTTTATGCTTCTCAGTTAATTAGATTCGCTAGAGCTTGTAGCAACGTAAAGGATTTCAACGAGCGGAATATTTTTAGGGTTAGGGTTAGGGTTAGGGTTAGGGTATAGGCATTTTGGCGAGATGGGCCGCTGGAGATGGGCCCGGAGCAATCTGATTGGCTGAAATTGTCACATGACAAATATGAGTATGACGTTAGGGTTAGGGTTAGGGTTAGGGTTAGGGTAAGACCTGAATGACGATGATGCCCAAATGGGCATTCGAATGATGCCCAAAATGAATTTGATTGGTCAATATTATCACATGGTAAGAATGTGCTATTTATAGAATATAGTCGCATAATACCAATATGCTTTAAATAGATTGTTTTTTTTTAAAAAAAAAGCCATTTTTTTTCTCGCTTCCTGAAAAAGACGACAACGGATGTTTAATATTTTGTTTTATATTTAAAAGGGGACTCTTGCAAATTGTTTTTAATTTAAAAATTAAATATTTCCTAAAAAAAGCTATTTTCAATTTGAAAAGTTTATATGATGCATATTGTTAGATCACGTGACTTTAAAAAACATCCGGGGACATGTTCATAAATTTTTTTTCAGAGCGCCATGTTGGTTTGGACACCCTTTTAACAGGCATTCTTTGGTGGTTAAATTGTTTTATAAATATTAAATTTTATTTGACAAATTTGGCGTGTTTTTTGTGTATTGGTTTTAAAATTTGGATTTTTTGTTTCAAAGGGAAATTTAAAAAAAAAGGTATGTTTATTTTTTTTTGATGAATGAAATTTAATGGTTGAATTTTTTTGGTTTCA